CAGTGTATGTTGTACAGTGTTGTGTCTTGTTTATCCTACTGATTGATACCCCTCCCCTCCCCTACTAAATCAATTATCAATGGTCCTTTAATACCAGTGTATGTTATACAGTGTTGTGTCTTGTTTATCCTAATGATTGATACCCCTCCCCTCCCCTACTAAATCAATTATCAATGGTCCTTTAATACCAGTGTTTTTACATGATTGGTATCAATCTTGTGTTGTTCAGTGTCTCCTTTCTCCAAGGCAAATGGTATCTTTACACACAGAACATGATAGTCATGACCTAGTGAGAAGAAAACAAACCAACTCCATTACTTTTAGTAGAATATTGATTTTGTTTCGTGTATTTGTGTCATAATATTTTCGGTGTGGCTCGTAGAGGTAGCTTTTGAGTCGAATAAAGTGGGAAAAAGATTGTGCAATAAAGACAAATAAAATGTTCAATTTCATTTCTTTCACATGTTTGAGGATATATCTGCAGTCCGTCGAAAATGAATTCATAACATAAAATGGTTGAAATTAACCTGGCTATTTTGTCTTTTAAAAATAATAAACCCTTGTAAAAATTATTTATGGTCGAACTTAACAACATACTATTATACTCTGTACGTATTCAAGCATGAATTCCCTTTTAAGACGCTATTTGTACTTAAAATTCAAAATCTAATAAATTCATTTTGAAAATGACGTCCAGCGAGATGTCGAAACGTCAAATCTCTTCGATTATTTTCATCGCAAAGTATTTTGTCTTAGCCTCCTAAATGTCTCTAAATCACGACTCTCCTTCGACAATCTTGTAGTAACAAYGCCTTGTTCGCTTGCAGCTCAACCATGACGATAAACAATGGAGTAACGAGAGTATTAGATGTGGTCATGGGAGGGGAGGGGTGGGAGTGAGAACATTTTAGCACATTTTTACTATAAAATATAATTTTTTTAAATACACAAAAGTATTAATCAAACCATATTTAACAATTATTCGCCGAAGGCGAAGTGAATATCGGGGAATATTTACCGAGACGCGAGTCTTCGAGCGCGGGCAAGGTAAATATTCCCCAATAATCACTGAGCCTGAGGCAAATGATTGTTTTAGTATAAAAGCACAGGTGATTCTTTGAAAAAAAAGAAAAACAAGAAGATAAAAGGCATTTTTTTCCGGTAACAGCAACCAAGCGGCTGGCCGCCATTTTGGATTTTCACTCGAGGTGATTATCGTGTGATAGTGTAAGTTTCTTGACCAATCAGCGCGCGAGACTTTCTATAATCACCTGCGTATTTTTACTAAAAGACTTTAGTAGCTGATTTATCTACCTGCCGAAAGACATGGCTGCTATGAAACCCAACTATTAAGTTGTTATTAACTTATTCAAACCCTGATCTTATCTGTACCTTGTTACTTGTTTATCGCGTACTTAATTTCTTTTACTGATTGATCCCATCCATGATTGGTCACAACCTTGTACACTTCCATCACAAGATGAGGGAAATCTTCCAGAAACACGAAGTCGTCAAGTAACATTTTTCTGATCGTTGGTGGTCGTGTGGATTCAGAGACGTGTGCGTAAGCATTTCGAATAAACCGCACTAACTCTACTACAGAGGTAGTATCATACTTTCTAGATTTCTTGGTGAATGTCATATCAAGCAGCAGGTAGGGGTACTCGCGATCGATGCCAAAGATATACGGGTTTAACTCGCGGATTTACGAAGACGGGTACAGCAGATTTACGGGTATTTTGGTATCGCAAACGGAGG